CAGTCTATTACAGTATTCTAATGAAGAGTATGGTATTATATTTTTCAGGTGTCACCCGATTTTCCCTTGGGTGATTGACTTCACTTCGCCATCCGGGGCATGGCGAGATCTCGCCAAGTCCAAATTTAGAATGAACAAAGGCGATAGACAACTGGATATGACGTACGAAGTTTCAATTTTTCATCCTCTCAAAGATTCGATGGATGATGAAGTCGGACCCAGTAGTTTGGACGTGAGACTTCCGACTGCTTTATTGAGACAAACCTAGTGTGTCAATTGAATCTTATTTTTTTTTCGAAGCACCCGCATCACGTTACTGAACTATTATCAGAGATCACTTACTACGTGTATAAAGCGAGAAGAATGCCGAAGTCAGTTTTGTGTAAACACGTGAGGTCCAACTGGGTTCCTGGTGAATATCCTTCTTCGATTCAGCGTATGTTTGAATGGAGTCCGGATGAATGCATTCCGGAATTCTTCATGGATCCCGATATATTCAAAGTGAGTCACGCGAGCTCGGATAACCGAGAATTTAGTAAAGGACTGCTATTTTGTGTTTAATTTTTGCAGTCAATTCATGAAGATCTCGGTGATCTGGAAATCCCTTCGTGGTCCTCATGTCCAGAAGATTTGATCGACAAACACAGGCAAGCATTGGAAAGCAATCATGTTTCAGAAATGTTGCATCATTGGATCGATCTTACGTTTGGATACAAGTGAGTTTATTTCGATGAGTCATGTATGCGTAGACTCATATCTGATTCTTATCGTTCTTCCGAAAAGAATATGACAGGTCTGATTTCGACAGTTCTGTCAGGAGACGAATTCGGTTGTATTTGAATACTAGAAGGCCTGCCTATTTTGCTTAAATATTGAAATCGTGAATTGTAAAAACGGAAACTTGAGTTCGGGCTCGAATGGATAGTGAATTCGATTACATTACGTCCACCACAATTGAAGAAAAGAAAACATTTTCAGGATGATACTGGTCATCGTATACTGAGAATTAGCTTTATGTTAGGACGCGTGAATATTCGACCTACTGTATTCTACTGTATGTACAGTACTGAAATAAGTTCTTGTAAAATCTGCCATAAGATTAGCATTTGCTGCCTAGGATAATTTTTCGATTAATAAACTTCACTCTGTTTCTGATGAATAGGAGAGTTTCCGTCAGGGTGTAGCTTTATAAATTTTCAAAAGCGTATGAAATCCTGCTTGAGTACTGTAGGAGTATGGCTTATAAAGTATTATAAGAAGCCTGAAAATGTTTCTTCTATGGCTGGCGCATTTTTTGCGAGAAATTTGGTATAGTAGAATCTCGTTATAAAAGATTTCTTTCTTTA